CTAACCTCGAATGCCCTCCGTTTTCCAGTTCACCGGCGCCATAAACACCGTGACGCGCCACGGGGCCTTGGTACAGCGGCAGAATCAGGCAGGCAGGGTGCAAGTCTTTTGAGGTTGAATCTGTTTGGGAACTGGAATTGCAAAGTGTTTTTTGGGCTTCACCTTGATGGATACCGTATGCATAGACTTGCATCTTCAGCTGCTCAACTTTTTGAAGACATGCAGTTTGACAGAGTTTCGCTGTTCCTGGTTCCTATCACCGAACTACCCTTGATTTAGGAAGCACCAGTGCTCAGGACAACTCTCAACAGTTGTTTTCAGGTAGGGTGGACTGTCACAATTCGGTCCTGTCAGTCCTGTTCGATCTCCCTCTTGGAACATCTGGGCCGTTGTGACTGCCATGGTCGTGCTCCGCCGGTCCTTCGCGCTACTTCATCCGGCTGCCCGGCTGCACTTGTGCATGCAACCCGAAGGTGCAAGGACTCAGCCGAAGAAGTGCAGTGAATATTAAGAACATGTAGGTGCGTATTAACATCGGGAGACCTCCCAGTTCGACCCCCTGGCAGAAAGAAGATCTCTATCAAAAGACACACTGAGCTGTTCTGGCATCATGGAGCGACCGAAAGTGACCCTGGGGCCCCCTGGGTGGGAAGGCTTTGCGAAGAAACGACAGGGAGTGTACGTTAGGTGGATGGCATGGCCGCTTGGATGAGCATGTTCCGAAGACCAAAACAGGTGGTGAACTCCACTTCTGTGATGATTTCAGGGAGTGTAAGGAAGAATTTTGGGGAACATCTTGGAAAACGATGAATCATTGTGTCACGTCCTCGCTCTTTCATGGCCAGCTGGTTCAAGCTTCCAAGAGCCTCAGCCAACCTGTCCTCGCATGGGGGGTAGATGGGTGGACATCTATTTGAACATCGCTGCGTCATCGTGGAGTCCAGATCTGGAAGTGACTCGGGATGGGACACCTGCATGCCTGAAGGTCAAGGGGGAATTGGACGTTTCATTCAGAGCCACGTGCAATGAGCTGTGCCTCAGCTTTGATGTGTCCAAGCAGGTCCGCGTGAAGTTGACAGGAGAGTCCGACGTTGGCATCACTCTCACCGATGGGTTCTTCACAGCTGTCCACGGTGGATGTGCAATCAACCAAATCCTGACGACTCCTGAGCGCGAAAGGTTCCCATCAGTTCGTTTGCATACCAATTTTAAGGGAATTGACGCCACTCTTGAATATGATCTTTCCATCGGAAAAACGCTCTGGAAGATCGTGTTTCAAGGCGAGTTGTCTCATCATGTCACAGTGGCCTTTGAGAAGCACATCCACATCAGCGGCAGGATTGATTTGTCCGGTCGCATCACAGTCACAAAAAGGAATGAACAGGATGACTCATCAGATGATGAGGGGCTGAAGGCTTTACCGGTTCTGTTGTCACAACTTGCGAGTCCTTTTGCACAGATGTCAATTTTAAAATGAGGACTTCATCAGCATCATTAATCCCCAAAAACGGGGCGCCAGATCCAAGCGGGTGCTCACAAGAAGCATGCAGCATGCCAGCCAGAGCATGCCACAGACAGAGCATGCCACAGAGATCGAATGAGGCAGCATCACAAAGGACCCTTTTGTGCAGAATACATAATCTGGTACATCAAGACAATCACCCAAGAACCCAATTTACTTCGAGGAGTGACCGAAGATGATGGAAGATTTTGAAGAACTCACAACAGTTGCTCATCGCCCACAATTCCTGCCCTTGTGGGCCATGAGAATCACATGTTCATGACCCAAAAAACCTTTTATCTCATCTAGTTGCTCTCCGTCTTCCGCCCGCCGCGACCGGCCTCCAAGGCGAGGAGCGATCAGAGGCGAACGAGGCGCGGACGTCAGGTGGAGCACAATAGGAGTCACAAAGGAGTGATGGAGTCCCATCCAGTGAGTGCATGGATCATGGGTACCCCTAACCTCCAAGTTCGGCACCCCTTCGTGACTGCGCTTTTTTCCCAAACAGTCTGGCAACACTAGGGGTTCTTACGGTAGTTGTTAAGGACGGGTGTCTAATCGGAGGTGCTCGCATCCGTGTCCGGCTTATTTACAGTACATTCATTCACCTCGAGATCTTCGAAGTGCATTTCGACTGCGCAGGCTCGCAGAATCTGGTGGGCTGCGGCGGGTGCTCTTCAGGACTGCGTTCTCGTTGTAGTGCCGTGCACATTTTTGGTCACTTTTCGTGGCAGGCGCAAGGGAAACCTCGTTTTTTGGTTTAAAGTCGTGACAGGTGCAGGAGATCAGAGCTGTTTTATGTCAATGTGCAAGATTTTGTGGCAGGCTCAGTACTTTGGACATGGCGGTGGTCTTCGGTGTGCTCTGATTTCGTCGCGCTTTTGGACGCTTGGCTCGTTTTCAGAAGTCGGAGGAAGTCTCGAGACAAAGCTGCGTCTTGAAGTGCTCTTGCTGCGAATCGCCTTTGTAGGGGCTGCACGATGTGAGTCTTGATGTGCAGATTTTGTGGCCGGCGCAGTACTTTGTGGAAATAGAGGTGCAGATTTCAAGCCAGGTGCAGCGCATTGTGGACCTTGAGGTGCAGATTTCTTGGCAGGCACAATGCTTTGCGGACCTTGAAGTGCAGATTTCATGGCAGGCTCAGTACGTTGCAGACCTTGACGTGAAATTCGTGGCACGTGGAGTACCATTGTGGGCTTTGAAGTGCAGATTTGGTGGCAGGTGCTGCAAATTTCCTGGCTGGCCGGCACTATACTTTGTGGACCGTGAAATGCAGATTTCCTGTCAGGCCACCACCATCACCACCCATCAACATCATCATCACCACCATCACCATCACCACCATCACCGCCATCATCACCACCATCACCACCATCACCACCATCATCGCCGCCATCAACATCATCATCACCATCACCACCGTCGTCACCGCCGTCGTCA